TGTAGGAAAACTGAAAGATAAATTAATTATCTGAATTTGAAAACGGGATTGATTTACGATTGGTGCTTGCCGCATTAATACGCAAGAAAAGGATCGATGAAAATCTGGTTCGGTTGCAATTCGCGTTCTCGATTGAAAATAAAAAGACGGACGTAAACATGTCTGCCGCAGCTCTTTCGCGTATCGACAGGCCAGATGCAGCGACGACCGCAACAATACCGAACTCGTTATTTTCCTTCACTGGTAAAGATTAATTTGACTGCGGCTGATCCGCACCCACGATTCACGGAATTAATTTGGAGTTCGACGAGATAACGAGATTATTTAGAATTGGCGGAAGAAAACTATTGCGTTAATCGTTTTTCCCCATGAGTGATAAATTCATAGGTAAGAGAGATCGTGAATCATGCGTGGTGCAGATTATGAACTTTGATCGCGTCAATTCTTAACAAACAGAATTGTAAATTAAAACTAATTATCACCATGAATAACTGTATAGTTTATGAATTTATATACTTTGAAATCATTGCCTGATCAAACGTAATCATTTTTCGTAGTTTTTAAGATATTGAACGTGAATTTGTTTTCCAAATTTGTGGTTATTACGTCACAATCTTTAGAACATTTGGCATCAAAGAGACAAAAAGCGATTATTTAAAGATTTTTATGATGTTATAGTACAGGAAGCAATTTTAAATTTCGTTAATACCGGACGCAGAAGACGTCGCGTAATTAAAAACACCACTACTAAGTGACAAAAACCATTTATTCGAATAACTATCTTTTATTATGAAGCGCTCTTATATATGTTTCGGCTAACTTTTTAGCCCTCTTCACAGAGAAACAAACTAATTTACATATTATTTCTTAATAATATATAAGAGAGAGAGAGAGAGAGAGAGAGAGAGAGAGAGAGAGAGAGAGAAGAGAGAGAGAGAGAGAGAGAGAGAGCGAGAGAGAGAAAACGAACATTACCTATTAATTTAAAAATGTTTCGGCATAATTTTTTGTTTTCGAAATATAGAAATTTTAATATAGTCATATTCTATTTTATCAATTTTCTGTTGTTTTTTAATTTAATATGATCCGATATGTCATATAAATATACAAAAATAGTTACTTCCACGAAACACATAACTAATTTACTTTCTGCCGACATCTTTTCGCAAAAAATAGAATATGTCTTTTCTTTAGATGTATTATATAGAAAGAGAGCATTATGTTATATTTTAAAAATAAAATTATAATAAAACGAAACAAAATGCATTTTAACGCTAAAAGTTAATTTTCACATGGCATTAACAACAAATGTATTGTCAGCGAGTATAAATATAACACCATCATAAAAACCTTTAGATAATATGTTTTTTACCTCAAAATTTTTCTCAAAATTATAATAGCTAAATTTAGAAAAGGATCGTGTTCAGCAAGCAAAAATACATGAAAAATAATTTATTAAAACACATTTCTTATCACAGACTATAATTAAAAGAGAATTTGTGTACCTTTTACTGTCAGAAATAAATTAAAGTAAAACTCAGAAGTAAACTAAAATGTAAGATTTTAACTTATGAAAGCTGCTTATAAAGTCAATCTAGATTAATCAAACAAAGTATTTATAATATGCAAGATATTCGACAATTATGTATCGCACAATTATCGTAAAATATTACAAAAACAATTCTTATAAATATGCAATACGTAATCTCGTGAACATTTTTATATTACAAAGTGATAAACAATCTACTTGTGTTGACATCATGTCGTTCGCTAATATCACTAAATAACCTGTTAATTATTCCGTTAACAAACAGTTTAATTAATTTATTTATCGTGTGATTTTCGCGTATACTCATTTTCATCAACGGACTTGGCGCGATCGTTAATGCACGTACACAAAGCATGTACCAACAGATGCATTCCCACGTACAAATTTAACGTGTGGACGTGCTCGCGTTACGTTAATGTTCCGTCTCTGCATCTAGGACGACGTTAGCGCGCGCGCGAATTCAGTCAGCGGTATCTAGACACATTGTCGCGCGATTGTTTGTGCTGAAACACGTCAGGCCGCACCCGCCGAAACATTATCTTTTCGTGCTCCGAAACTGTCTCGCCGTCGAGGAACGTGGAATCGTAACGAATCCCTCGGCCCGGGAAAGACGGAAGAATACGACAAGCTTCCTCGTCGCGAAAAAGAGTATGTTAGAAAAACGAAGTAAAAAAAGTCGCGCGATGTTACTGATTGAACGTACAGGAGTAGAGGCTACAACAACGCGTACAACAGCTGCAAAAGGAATAAAAGATTTGCATTGCAAATTTAAATGCAAGATATAACATCCACATTGATATAAGGCTGAAATAAAAATAAATAATGCTACGTAGATATTGTATGATACGATATATTCGTCTCCGTTACATTTCCGTTAAGTGTCGTGAGATTTAACCATGCAAGTGAGATTCTACATTCTCTTCATAATCGGCATATAATTTGCTTAAACTGGAAATTATATACATAAATTCACAAAAAAGAGTTCGTTAGACACTAAGAGCCGCTTGATCAAATATGGTGTTTTCCAATGGCGTTTAACATTTTATCTCTCTCTCTCCCTCTCGGTCAATTTTCTCTTAATATTGTTTTATTTAAACGTTAGGATTTAATTATCTCTCTTGTATCTTTGATTTTTTTCTCGTCTTTCCTTGCCAATTATATTTTATGCGTAAAAAACAGTCCTCTCTATTAATTTTATGGGTCGAGTCAGTGGATTTTTGGACCAGCGTTTTCAATTTTATCTGCTACTTAGTCTTTATGATTGCACACCATTTCAATGTCTGGGTTTCACACAATTATTGTTTCGTTTTGTGGTTCCAAGATTTCTTACCCGGCCGTAAATCCAGCCTTAACAGAAATTACTGTTAACAATAAATTCAGTATTGAAATTATTTTCAAAATAAAAGACATAATATTCGCAGCATTATAATTTTTTATAATGTTAGTTAAAATATTTTTAACATAAACAGCTATGTTTGTACGTGATATAATTGTGCAAAACAGTTTATGACAGACATTCGGTTTGCAGAGTGTCAGTTATCATGAGATTTTCCCACGCACAATGACGCATGAGAGAAATCTATTATATAAAGTAACGAATCTCTTCTATCCAAAACAGAGATATGTTTTATTTTTAAGCTTCAACAAATCAACATATTTAATTTTACACTCGGCAATAAAAATTAGAGAGATATTTTGGTAGTTAACTATGAACTTACTCCATATTTTGAGTAAAATATGTGATTGTCTGGTCCTAGGTTATATTTGCTCGAGAAGAACCCGTTTAAAGTAAATGTTGAATAGCAACTGAATGAAGGTGAACAGTATTTGTGCGGGGCAAATTAACTAATTATGACTGTAGTCCAACGAAATTAAATTCATTAACTATACACAGTAGAGTGCGACAAAGCAGCGAAATTAATAACCGTTTGTGTTAAATTTAACAGTAAAAAATTAAAATGCTAGAAGCATCATAAAGTTAATTAAAATTAAATCACGAATTTGCAATTTACATACCTATATACACGCCATATTCCGATTTTTGAAAAGAAATCAATACTGTCGCTTTATTTATAAGTTATTAAAACAAATGATTGAACTGTAGAAATAAATTATCAAATTACATTACAAATTATACCAAAAGCCTGCTAAAATAAATAAATTTTCTTTCGATGAAAGTTTTATCGCAAAATTAGGTCACTAAGCACTCTATACGTTAACGAGATTGTAAGAAGAAGTTAAAATAAACTATCCTGTTTGAAACTTTTGTCATCATTTTTCTCACGACTGAGATAAGAAGCTCTCAAGTTCATGAGAAAAAGCTTTTGTTAGCCTTTGGCGTGCAAAGATAATCCAAACAACGCATATTGATTTTGTTTTAAGAGGATTCTTTCTAGGCATTTTTTGCTTATGAGCATATAAATACGGAGAAATGCTCTTATATATTGTTCACATTCTATATGTGAAATTAATTATGACAATACATAATTACTTAATTTTAAGCTTTGAAATTAATAATTAATATTGTAATTGAATGTAAAATATTGGCACATGTATAATAAAAGAGCATCTTCTTTTCCTTCAGCAATATTCTATATGTATTACGTACGACACATCGGCATCTTTATTGCCGATTCCCTGCGACGTTGATTAACTCTAATCTCAATGTACGTATATCTTTCTATTCGTGTCATGATGCGATCATCTAGAGAGAATGAATTCAGTTAACTTCAATTAAGGTTAATCAGTGTTAGAAGCATCGATTTCTAAAATAAGTCTATATAATATATTCTAGTAATGCGTCAATCATTTTATAGATTACATAAACTCATCCGATTACATAAACCTAAATTAAACGACATTCCTGATCTGCTTTTTAATAATCATTTCCCAAGTAACGCAATAGATGTATATTATTACATATTTCTTTTAAATATGTAGAATAAATTAGAACATATTCACAATTACAAGTATATTAATAAAAATAAGTTCTCCGTCTGCAATCTGTATCTTTTGCGACACAAACAAAATTTAACTTTTAAATTTTATTGATTGTCTTTTTAACTTGTAATTTTGTTACTTCAACTTCGGGTTAGGATTGTGTTTCAAGATCGAAACTTCATAATTCATTCATATTTATTTATTGTAAATAAATGCTTGTCTGCGATTTTTTCATAGTTGTATAAAAAAAATTGTTTCCAAACTTGCATTCTTATATTTTTTTCAGAACGTACAGAAGAACATAAATGTTGGATTGATTCTGGGTTCGGCTTTAGACTTTAGGCTTTAGACTTTACACAAGCGATGCGACGCAACGGTGGGTGGTAACGGCTGGCATGGAGGGAGAAACGGTCACTTGGCAGGGGAATAATAACGACAGCCGGACTGACACACGCGAGGCGTGTAAAGAGCCGTTGGAGACGTGAGGCTTTATAAATCGCGAGGATGCACATCGAAGCAGTGACACCTCGGCTGACGACGGTGAAAAACGCGCGGCCGCGATCAACTAGAAGCGGCGAACACATTTTTCACACTTGAGCATCGTGAGTATCGTATCCGTGGATTAAAGACGCGGCGCAAAAGTTTCCAACAAATGACATCGAAAAGTTTCCTACTGATGATCAACGATCGTTCGTCTTGTATTTTTTTTTTTTCCGTAAAAAGATGGTAAAAGATTCCTCCCTTCTTCAAGGGAGGGATTGAAATCTTGATTCGAAGAGTAGTTGGATCGCGATTAATTTACTTTCCAAATTTTTTCTTTGTTTTATCGGCCTCATTTCACGACGAGCTAAAATATTTGAAATAACGAACCTCTTCCAAGATTTCTGAAACATCAAGAACTATATCGACATTTTGGCGCAAACAAACATTTCGTTCGCCATATTGCCACACTTTAACCGTGTAAAGTCGATCGTTCACGTCGGAACTATTCAATCGGTTACCTTCCCCGGAAATAGATCGACCGGAACTCGCCGCTCCGAGGAAGATTGTGAGATTCTTCGACACGACTGGTCGATGCGCTTCCAGCTGCAGTAGTATCGATCGTTGCAAATTGGATTGCCGTTAAGATTCGAGCATTAGAGACCACCTTGGAGTCGAGCAGACTTGTTCAGTGTCGACGGTATCAACGCGAAATTTCCAGAGAGAATTTCGGAGTTCAGAGCATTTGCGACTTAATTTGCCACTGCATGGAGAAGCACACGTCTAACACTTGGGGGATGTTCCGTAAACGAGCGTGACCGAGAGAAATAAGGGTATGCGAACTGCACGTGTTCACGAATGAGATTTGTTAGCAGGGCTTGTAACGAGAGTCAGTGATCTTAACAAATAGGTAAGTACGAATTCTTTGACGCAAAGAATAATAATGTAGATATGCATTGATAAAAAAAGTGACACAAGTAAAAAATTAGTATTTTTGAGATGATGAAAGGAAATCAAATCTAAATATATAATATATTTTTATGAAAAAACAACGCATTTTTAATGTATTTGTATGAAAAAGTATTACAACTTTAATAAAGGAAAATGAAATTTACACTATACTAGGATTGCAATGTTCATACCTTAAAAACTCATGATACACAGAGTTTTAAAGTATACATTATGATTAAAAATATAACTTGGAAAGAAAGTGAAGTTATAGAAATTGCATATTCACTATTCTAAATTAAAACTTGTTCTAAAAAAGAATTCAGAATTTTTACAATAAAATATTCTACTGAAAAATTGTTAATTTTGAGATATATCATTTTTCATGTTGATGCAGCAATGCAATGAAATATGAATTAAAATAAGCTTTAACTGTTTGATTACGAAAAAATATAAAATGGCATTTTAAAATAATTATACACAAGCTATATGTCTAAATCTTTTTCTTAGTAACAAATGTTATAAAAATATGTTTTCTGTTTTATCTCTATTTTTGTCGTTTCGACTGAAATAGAATTATTTTTCTCAATTGCGATTTTTATTATACGTTTCTTTGCGATTGTAAGTCCGACATATAATGATGATAACGCATGCAGTTGTCGGGGATGATTTTACTTTGGAAAGATCTAATAATCTCTATAATCACACAAGTCCCACATGATTGCATATAATTAAACGTGACCTCATTGATAGTCGCATAGGAATTTATATGGGGCACTTTAATTACGTTATCGTAAATGAAGATCAATTGAAAATCCTATTAAAGCATTATGCAAATTTAATAACTGTTAATTAACAGGTTACTATGAAATTTCGGTATGTAGCCACATACGAAAGTCTTGATGCTGATGTAATTATCGATATTTAAATGTTTTGGAATAATCAATTACGGAATTTTTTTCAAATATTTATATGTTTTCCGTTGCACAATATGAGAGACCTCGACATAAATTAAGAATGAATTGATACTTATTTTCTTTAGGGTTATCCGACGCATGATAAAGCATGATAAAAAGTGCACTGTGAAAGGAACTAATACATTAAAAATCGCCAGTTTTATACATTACTCTCCTTAACTATCTTATATAATATATTTAACTACAGAATCGCATAATTCAATATCATAATATTTTTCTAAAATTAAATTGTATCTCATATAAATAGTTAACTTTTAAAAGAATTAAATCCTATTCTAATGTAACGTGCAGTTTTTCTATTGCAAATTTATCGAGTATAATGACCATGAATTTATTTGAACAGATTTTACACCTTTTATATACAATCTATTCAAACTTCGTACGATAATTAACAACTTTTCTTATTATTTATCATGCTTCTTGTTATTCACATAAATTTTTTCGATATCTTGCGTGAAAAATGGTAATTCATTTTTAACGATTTATACTCATGTGATGAATATTATAAAAAAATATTTGTTATAAGAAAAAACTAAAAATAAAATATGCAGGTAAGAATGTTGAATCAACAGTTAAATCAAGCCATAGTATATTAAAATTAATTATGTAAAAACTATTTCTAAAATAACACATACAATATATATTCAGTGAAAATCGCAGTATTTCAATTTCACGTTATAAATGTTCGAGAGAAATAAACTTATAAATTGGAAGAGTATAATAAATTTCTAGAAGTTTCCAGTTGTATGCCAGGTATATTATTACCTAATTTAATAGTCGGCAATTATTCGCTATATCACTCAATATGAGCAAACTTCCGCCTTGATTGATCCCACCGATGATGCTGTGTTTGCAGCATGCAATTATCGTTAATTAGTTATTCACAGAAAAACAAAAAAGATCCACGCGAGGCTATTGCTCCTTATCGGTTCTTCAATCCACGAAAAAAAAAGGTCTGTTTATTAAAATATTATCGATGTGACATTATCACATGCGCATGCGTGGGATTCTATATGTAAATACGAATGTGTATAATTACGATAGTGGCTTTGCCTAAGACGACAAATACAGTCACATTGTTGCGACGTCGCAGGCGATTGAAAGTTGCAGCAATTTTATAAAGAAAACCGTAATTTCCGCTTTTTCTGAAACCAATTCCTTCCACTATTTTCTTGTTGCATATAAATGTTAAATATATTTATATTTATAAATATATTTTAATCAAGATTTAATTATGAAATTATTTACTTAATATATAAAAATTTGATTCTAATTTTCTAAAAGTAAGATCAATACTTAACTATATTAAATTTTACATTCTGAAATGTATATTATTAGACTATGTATTTTTGTATCTAAGAAAAAAATAATATAAAATGAACAGGTAATCTTTATACAAATCATAGATTGGTATGCCTTGCTTTTATAGAAATCTGAAGGTAAAAATTATAGTCATTTATTTTTCATACGCAAAAATATATACACGACTACGATGAATACGGCAATGATCTCATAGATGCTTGACACGTTCGTTTCCATGCCAGTGGATGCTATTAAGTCACAACGACGTTTCTGACTGTCATTGAGAGCATATGTCGTTATGTTAGCAACGTGGAGCCCTGCTGACAAGGTCGCGCGATTTAATCGTTGACTTGTGAAATGATTCCTTTGATGTTGCGTCAACATAACATCGAAGCATCACCGTAATGTAAATAATGTTACAGATCTCGGGTGTCAATTATTTGTAACAATGAATGCAACCGATCAAAGGATTTGCTATTGCGTTATAATTACCATCAAACAAAGAACGTTAACAGAAAAATTTATTTTATTGTAAAATAATAAATGATTAGAGCAAATACAAGTTCATGATGAATCGAGATTTCCATGTAATCAAGGTTACAACATTAAAACTAATAAAGTTACGAAATTAAGTTTAATTTTTATGATCATTAGAACAAAACTCGTTGAAGAATTCATCATGTTTCCGTAATATCTGAAGTAGTTTTTCTATGATCATTTATTATCAAATATGTAATTATTTATTATCTTATTATTAAAAATTTCAAAGTTTTCAACAAGATTGCTTGAAAGAATACAGTTAAAAAGTAATAAGTCAATTGTTGAAATTATAAATAATAAATTTATTATGTCTTTTTTAGTAAGAAAAGCTTAAGGATGTTTAATATTAAAGATTAATGCTAAAGATAGTGCAAGTAAGTTTCATTGTCTTTGATTTCATATCGATATTCATTTATTTAATCTTAAATAATATGTATAACATATCTTAAAGTGTAATATACATATATCATTTATTTCTACATTAACGATTTTTTTGGACCTTTTTCTGAAGAAACTGATACTTACACTTTATGCTTGTACTTTTTAAAGATATTGTAAAAATGTTAAAGAAGATAATTCTTTTGTCCATTTTCTCAAAATTATGCTGGATCAGAATAAATACTACTCGACCTCACCGCATTGGTTACATGTATTATAATACTTTGAAACAGGTCTCGAGAAGTAGATTCGAGCGAACGCTACGCACGCGTTGAACCACGCGCGCGCATGCAGATTAACGCATGCATCGCGCGCGGCTTATCGACAACCTGGCGTGTTCGACCGATCGGTCGAAATTTTCTCGACGAGCCGATTGCGCGACGGGCTTTACAAAATCGACAATAAATCTCTAGGGCGCTAACGGGACAAGGCAGAAGGAATAGAGGAGTGTCTCTTCCTCTACATTATATCTATAAACGTGAGCAAGCTATTAAACTGTCGCGAATTGTGACAAAAAATCCCTTGCGCGCCTTGGACCATCCTCCCCCTCCTCCTCCTCCTCCTCCTCCTCCTGCTTCCCTTCTTCCACCTCTTCCGGGATGTACGCTTATCGATCAGGGAGTGCACCGTATAGCCCGGTAAAGCGGTTACGTCACGTATATAAATGTTAAATATCCAAGCTTCGAGAAACATCGCCCTTTCTAACCGGAAACGATTTCGTATTCACAAATTGCTTAGACAATATTAGAAAAATATATATATTTATATTATTGATCGAATGATTAAAATGTCTCTCTGTCGTTTTAATATGCCAGATACAGTCTTAAAAAAATTAGGGTATATACCAAAAAATCAACAAATTCAAAGTTATGCACTTTTGTGAAAAATGGTCCCAAAATGACATATGAAAAAGCGTTTTAGAGCTTGAAACTTTAGCTTTCGAATGCTTCCCGTGTCTCTGTAACAATTTCACTACAAATGATTTAATTTAAAATAAATCTTGAAAACTTGAATTCTAAACTTCAGCTTTGATGGCGTGAATACGGGAGAACATTGTTTCTGTAACAAAAATTGTTTCTGTAAATTTCTTTAATATTGTATATCGTAAAATACATATATTATTTTCTCTTTAAAATACTTTTCGAAGCATTATGCTACGATTTTGTTCCACTAATTGTAAGTTATAATGGTTTAAAGTGAATAGTGTATTTTTTTTCTAAAAATCTGTATCTATCGTTGCATCCGTATTCTGTTGCAACAATTTGAGCTGTCTGTATTTCTATAAGTATTTTCTTGGCATTAAAGAATATGAAAGCGATAAAGATTTTACCAAATCTATGCGTAATTATTAAATATGCGTTCGCGTGCGCGTCATCCGACAATATCCAATATCGTAATAATTCATGACAACTTCACGACAGTTAAAATTTTTAATGTCTTGAAGTTGTAACGTATTGTTAACTGCATAATTTCATTGTCACGAAGTTGTTACACGAATTATCACGATATCATTATTGAATGTGACAAAATATATTCAAAATTTGAAATTTCAAGCTTTTCTAAACTTCGTTCTCTATGCAACTATTTTTCACGAAAAATACGTAACTTTAAATTTTCTCTTTTTTAGCATTGATTTTAAATAATTTCTTAATTTTTTGAGCTTTAAAAAAGGCAAGATAAATTATAAAATTTAATTCACTGAATA